TATATCGAGATATAATTCGCTATTCTACTTGTCGAGTAATAAAAATAGAGATTGCATAGATTGAAATTCGTAGCAGATGCGTCTATAAGAAGATACGTTCCTATAAAGATTTCTCGAGCCTTACAGCATGAAATTTGTGTACGCTCCCTCTCAGCGCTTGTCCGCCTTTAATTACACACGTAAGCTCATAGCTGCTGTATGCGTGTATGAATGCGCTTTTTAGATCGCGCGAGTCTCGTGCTCAATCGCACACGCGTTTTGTTACACTTACGCGGCCGTACAATCGTTCATCATCATTTCCTTGTCATCACCTTCGGTGTCGCGACAAATCAAGGATCAAAAATGACAAGTTCGATTTTCAATGTTGGGGACACAGACAAATGTATCTCGACTGGCTAATTAGCGATCTAAGAATCTAACAAGTGAAATTAAAACTATTATATGTATCAATTCAATAGGCATTTTAATCTTTTGTATAATTATACAACAACGTGTACTAACATATACAGTTAAGACCCTCCTAAATAGCCAAGCGTTCCTTAATATAAGAAAAGAAATAGTTACTTGGCACAAGTTTCCCTTTAATTGCCATCACGTTGCTGTCATCAGGATAGTCTTGTTTAGGGCAAACTAAAGATATTGTGCGGACAACAGTTGTCTGCGCAAATGAGCGGAAATGCTGCTGTAGCATTTCTTATTGCTATAAAAGTTGCTACAATCTGTTGGAAAAAGGGCAACCGCTTGCCTGAGCGTTATCATCAAATTGTTTATAACTATTAGTGATAATAAAAATCGGCAATCCAACATGCAAAGCCGGAAACCATTTTCCTTAATATAAAAGGCAACTTAAGCAGAGCAATTTGAAGCAAATGGACAGCAATCTGCGGGCAACTTGCTATATGGATAGTCTTACTGTATAATTACTGTATAATTATTAAGTATATAATAGGAAAAACACGCCATGTTTAATTTTTATTTAAAAAAAGTGTGTAGCGCACTTTTTCATTCTAAAATATATCGTTTAGTGAAATTAATTTTTTTCACGTGTCTGCAACATTAAAATTCGAGCTGATCACAATTACGCTGGCCGCAATACCTCTAAAGAGACACGTACGTGGTCAGCAACGATAACAATACACGAGGGAACACTTTGTAATCTTAATTTCTGATATGTCCGTTGAATATAGTTGGTGTTTCTGATGCTATCATTTGGCCGATTTCCGTTCTAGCCGCTCAGACGGGTACTGCACGCTGTGTATATATTTATTATATACATATATATTCTTAAGTCTTAGAATTATTTGAAGAGAAACAAAAAGAAAAATCAAAGGACAGAATCTTGAGCACGAACGGACGTCCATGACTCTGTTATGCTTTTTGTGCTTGTTTCTTCGTAATGCTTGTTAAAAAAAACAGCTATTTACTTGGCGCGGCGGCAAAGCGGCGCGAAAGATCCCTCCCTCGTCGATTGAATATTTCATTCAAATATACGCCCGTTCGGAGACCCACTTGTTGTAATGCGTGTGTGCTATTGCTTGGCGAATAGTACAAATCCGTTTCTGTTGAATTTGAGCAAATTGCGAATTTTCTTCCGAACTTGCGCGGAGCTTGCACGGAGAAGTTCCGTCTTATTGCTTGCGCGACTCTTTAAAGGTAATCTTCTTTTCTCTTGAGATCATCTTCTTTTATTCGCTGGAGCGATCAAAACATTTCAGGGGATGTCGTCTAAAAGATCGTCGTTAGAAGTTCACGCTACTGTCCGCTGCGCGAGCTTGCTGTTCAGATAATCAACAATTGCGTCTGTAATTTTCTCCTTTCTTCCTTTTTTTTAATTTTCTAGTACGGCAAATTTCTTTCACGATCCTTCAACCAAAATTCCTTTCCCGCTGACTTTTGAATAACCGAGACAGGTCAATGGGAATCACCATCAATGATAGTCGTCGACAATCGCTTTGTTTTTCTTTTCTCTCTAATTTTCTAATATCTCTTGTGATAAACAATCTTCACAGGCATACTTCATTCCTCGTTTGAACCGCCCGTTCTTCATTCAATTTGAATCTCGTCATCGTGTTAGATGTATTTCGCTAACTCTATGAGTTAAAACGTTTCTAGATATTCAGAACGGCCTCGGTAAACGCTGGGCCCGATTTATCGCCGACAGCACGGCATCATTGATCTCGAATTACCTCGCTGTAGCTTATAGAGGCTGCTAAACAAAGGATATTTCGCTGTATTCGACAATTCAAGAGCTTAAGATTGGATACATTAAATAAAGTAATTTAACAAAATTTAATTTATCAAGATAATTAAATAATAATGAAACAAATTAGACTAATATCTGTACAGAAATTTGTTAAAGCAATCGAAGCAGACACGATTCGCGAAAAACCCGTAGACTTGTTAATTTAATTTTAAATTGTTTGAGGCAACGTTGCATTAAGATAATTAAGACTGCATTACTATATTGGATTATTATTAAAATTCGTACCAATTTCACACTGTTATTTTATAATCACGATCATGGTACAAGTAACGAAAAATCAAACATTTGCAGTCTTTATTTGTGTTGTATCAAATTATTAAAAATATCAAATTATCAAATGAGCAAAAGAGAGAAGTGAGAGAAACTGGAATTACATTGAATAATATGAATAAACGTGAAACAAGGGGTTTTCAGAGAAGATAAAAGCGAGCACATGTTAAATCGTAAAGCGTAAACATATCCTGTACTTCGTATGAATACTCTTTTGAAACATTCGTTTGCAAATGTCATTGCAGTCAGGACAGTTATTGATTATTCAGCAGTATACAGAATTCGCGCTTCTCATTGCTCGTATCTTTTTCACGGTGTTATCGCCATCATTCTGTTCATAGAAACGAATGCTTCGAGCGTATAAAGCGAATGCTCTCATATCTTCACGAAGCGTTCGCCTCGCTGAATACAAATAAAAATTCATTTCCCCTTCATTCACACAACTGGTCTCTATTAAATTATTGTTTGAAGATTACCTTTTCATTGCAAATCCTCCTCGCATTTAGGAATGTCGAATATCTCGGCGAACAGCGGCGGTAATTTGAGCTTTGTCCAATTCCTGCGGAACCAATCTAGAAGATTGGCATGTCTAGCGCCGAGCGCTCTCAATTCGGGTATCCTTTGCGAGACGTTGGTGCCGCCGGCACCTTCACCGGAGGGTCGCGTCGTTTGCACCCTCAATGCCTCCAGAACGCGATCCTGCAGCCTTTGAACGGCCTTGACGTCGTTCAGTCCTGGTCGTTCGTTCAGCAGCACCGCCGCCGAGAACAGGCCCAGCTCGGTGTCCGTCAGTTGATGGGCATTTAACGAAGACGTGACTTGCATCAGTGCAGACACAAAATCGGGCTGTCAATAATAAATAGTCGAATAAAATAATGATCGTATAATATAATAATAATCTTTACAGAAATTTAATATTAGAAAAAGTAATTAATTACTTAGTTTGAATACTAAAAAAATACTTTTAATATTCAAAATAAGTAATTAATCACTATCTTTCAATATTAACCCTTTAATGTCAGATATAATGTAGCTGGTTTTCTCTCTTTCTAATACTCTCCATTTTTTGCTTATAACACACATTTTATTAATAAAAACAAATACATTTACTTAATACCGATATGTTCCTTAATGTCTGGCGTTTCGATTAAAAATAAAATTTTACAATATGTTCATTTTTATAAAAGTTAGCTATAAGCAATCGAATTGGATTAGGTATGCTATACCCAAGTGTGTCATTTCCGTAGTGTGACACCGAAGTGTTAAATTGGCTAGTACTAAATTGGATTCAGTAAAGAAAAGACAAAACTGATAAACGCGGAAAACGATTAAATTTATTATTTTATGTTCAATTTCTTTCTCAATAGAGAAAAAAATAGTCGATTTTATGTGATAAAGAATGAATCTAAAATCCATAAATTCGAAAGTACAAACTTCATTGAGACTTACGGAAATAGGTACAAGTGTGTTACTAAAATTACAAGAGTACAAGTTAAACTGTATTGATCTACAGCTTTAATCTTACCTCGTACATCAGTTCCAATTGCTGGCGAGTGAAGTAAGTGCCGTCTTCAAAAGTCATCGAATTATCGGTGGTCATTTTGGAGATGTGACAGAGCCACACCTCGAAAAAGCCGACTTTGATCAGGATCAGCTGGTCGTCTTGCGAGAGTTCGCAGAATCCCGGCATCCGTTTTGCGAACTCCACCACCCTTTGTACCGATGGCGTCACTCTAGTGGCAAATTGCTGCCACAACCAGATCCTCTGCGACTCAACAGTCTCCGCGGTCGAGGATGCTGCTTCTGGATCTTCCGGGCTCGCGGGCTGCGAAGAATTACTCGCCTAATCAGCAAGATTACAAACAGACCTGCGAGTTTGCTACCACTTCCAGCGGGAAGCTCTTCGCGCTAATACATAATGAGAAATTAAACTAATTCCGTTCTGCGCCAAAAAGACAACGAGATATATCATAAAGTTAATATGTTTTTCATTCTTTCAATCGATTCGGAAAAGATCTTTATTGTGTATTAAAAAAAATACATATAGATCTTCGTTTTATTGAATTTAATTTATTATTAGATACCTAGACCTGTTTTGACCAAATATTTTTTGCTTATTTGTGTTGGACATTTCTGGATCAATTTTCATTTACTACTGTTTAATTACTATGATGTTTAATTATTATTTTATTGTTATAATTATTATTATATGATGACTACTGATTTAGAGCGGCGGCATTTTAGATCGCAACGGATTAGTTTCCTTTTTCATTTTCTAATGGCTCACCGGTATTATCATAGGTTTCCTCGTGAGGCCCCTGGTGGACTCTTCCGTGAAGCCGCAATGAGCGTGATGAGCCTGAGAGACCTGATGAATCACATCGTATACAGCCAGTTGCTTCACATCAGCGTCTGATTGATCAGCCTCGACCACCGCAGCCGACGGTACTCGTGAGATCGCGTTCTGGCTCTGGGTGTTATTGTTATTGTTATTGTTGTTGTTATTGTTGTTGTTATTGTTGTTCTTGTTGCTGGCATTGTTGTTGCCGGTATCGGGTGTAGTCAGTTGCTGCATTTCCATAGCCGCCATCGTCGTCGTCGTCGTCGTCGTCGTCATGGTCGTCGCCATCGTGTCCTCGGGGCCGCGTTCTCTCGAGCGTTTCGGCACCCTGCCGTATCTCACGGCTGCAAAGAGACGAGCAAAATGTGATCGTTGGGGAGATCTCGAGGTATTCGATGAAATTATTTACATATATTTTTCATTTCTTGTAGCAGTCTTTCTTCGCTAATACTGATTTCTGTAAATAAAAGCTGCGATAAAATTGAAGATATTTTTGCGAATATTCCTTCATACCAATTTACCATTGAAAAAACGCAAAATTTTTTATTTTATTAAAAATTTTTTATCTTTCAACAAGCAATCTTAAGTAAACTTTTCAAAATGTTATCACATCGAGATGTGCTTTCGTATGATAATAAGAGCGAGGGTAATCTTCCCTATCATAAAGAGAGACAGTTCAAATTTGACACAACAGCTCGCCTCTCTTGGTCAAAATAGTTTTATCGTTAAAAATGTAATATTATTCTGAATTTTATTTACTGTTCGACTCATATGGAAATTAACCATATTCCGTTTATAATCAGAGATTACTAAGAAATAAGTATCTAATATTTATCGATCATATTTCAAAAAAGACAATTATTTCTGCACTATCCAACAAGTCAACTAATTGAGACTCTCTATAAGAGAAAGGCTGACTGCCTCATGAGGAATATTACCATGATTTTCGTTGGATCTTAAATATGTAAATTCATTGCGTATATTGATCAAATGATGAAGATAGCTAAAAGATTAACCGAAACTTGTACAGCCGGTCATAGAAAAGTTGCAACACTTTTTTTTTCGATGAGTTTCGGAATGTAGTTTACTCACTGAGTGATTGGTTCTTGCTTATGGATCTAACCATTTACGTTCAACTACTCTACGAGCAAGGCTGAGTTCCGAATTCCATTGAAAAAAGTATTGCGACATTTCTGTGACCGGCTATATACATAATAATGTAATGTTGTGAATATATTCAAATCTTTATAATTCTAATTCTTATTTATATTGTATTGCGCAATTTTAACAGCGCGCATTCTTAGCTCGTTTTTTTACAGTTTCATGTTTTTTATTCATTTTGAGAACTTGATTATCTTACTTAGCTTCTTAAATTCATAAATTTGAGTCATCATTTCTATATGTTGCCACCGCTCCTACTCAATATGTCATTAATTTAACTAAAACATTAAAGTTAAACATTAGAGTTAGTATCAAATTTAGTTCATCATTTATTAAGTGCATATATGTATTGATATGAATGTTATTTAAATTGAAGCTAATTATAGAAATGGATTGATTGACATTTTGACATACATGTAAGTTAAAATAACAGAATGTTATTTAATTCAAGAAATTGAGTTATTGCTTTTTTGATATTTAACAGCGTTTCTTTTTAAAAATTGAAATGATTTTTTTTCGTGCAAATGTCAAGAAGCGAGTAGTTTTTGTACTGCAGTCGATTAAAAATGGAAATCTTCAGCGAATCACGGTTCAGAGACACAGACAATAAAGTCTCACGGTCCAAGTAATTTCAGGTAGAGTTTAGTTTCATGGACTCCTGATTTAAACGCCGTAACCTGAAGATATTTTACGTCAAAAGTTTTAACATTTCTGAAAGTTGAGTCCCGCGGATTTAAATGAAAGCCATCTCGTTTGCGTTCCTCTAGATTATTACACCCGCGTCTACGCGAGTCTACGTGAGTTCGTTACAATTTCGTTTGCGACACGTGACACGATGATGAAGCGGTACTCGCAGCTCGCACGTCGTACACGTAGACCGGTATTGCGCCCTGGAACTCTGACGTTTAATTATGTACACGCCTGCCCTTTGGTTTACTTTGCTCTCTCGACACGGGCGGCAAGTAGATTTTGCATCACTGACGGCTAGAATTGCGATCTCGTAGAATCCTGTTTGAATTTCTAACGGCACCATGGATTCGTAAGCTCGTTTCCGACACACGCGTGAAGAATCAAAGAGTCGACTTGTCGTACTCGGAATATACAAATATAACTGACAAATAACATATAAGATTATCAAAACATTTTTAATTTTTAATATGTTTGGACATTCTCTTTCTCTCTTTCTCTCTCTGTCTATATACAGTTACCTATATTTAAATTAATTTAAAAAATTCATTAACTGTTTTAAAAATTTTATACAATTTTCTGCCACCATAAAAAAAAAAAGAGAAAATGTATATGCATTTTTATATCTCGTATAATTTTGTACTATAGTTGCTGTTTATTTTACAATTCATTTTTAAATAATTTTTTAAAATACTTAATACCAATATATTTCATAAATTTATAATTATTTGATATATTTTATATAAAAGAAGAGTATCAAAAAACAGAAAAAATCGAAAAGATTTCACAATCCTTTAAAAAATATATGCAATATTGGTTATCAATTTCTTTTTAAGGAATTTTTTATATACAATCTGTATGTCATGAATTAAATATTCAATAAGGTTACTCGGTAGTTTCTTCAATATTGATACGTTTCGGAATTTGCCGACTGTTTAGATTAGACGAAGTGTAAAAATTGTTAAACGTAGCGCGAACACGGTACTTACAGTCTCTGGACATGCCGACGGCTAGGCACTTCTTGAATCTGCAGTACTGGCAACGGTTCCGATTTAATCTGATGACAAGACACTTGCCGTCCCTCAAGCACCTGTACTCTATCTGCTTCTGTATACTCCTTCTGAAGAAGCCCTGAAACAGGAAGTAAGGAAGCGCTATTAATAACAATCCCATAGACCGTCGCGAGATTAATTATATCTCCCCGTGTATAAAATACGACACTCCATGCCCTTCTTTGTAGCGTCGAGGGTTACAGGAAAAGCGAGATAGCTAACGGAAAATGCGCTCATGAGAAAAGCAAGTTCTCGAACGCGGTTCGTATTATATCGCTCATTTTCCGTGATGGGAAATTTTGTTATAATTACGTCTCAGAACATTTGTGTATTCACACATACATAATTAATAATAATAAATGATAATTAAATAACACATTATATCTCTGAATATGGTCTTATCATTATGAATATCTTTCTAAATTTTTTATGAAATTTCGAGTCAATTTCTCGACAGAGATTTCATAAATGGCTACTATTTACTAAATTTTTAATTTTCAACACATTAACTATTTTGCATCGTGCATTTTCCCGGATGAAAAATTGTAATTATGTCGAAATTTATATAAATAAATAAATAATGATAATGAAATAACCTGCTGTATTTTTGGATACAGTAAAATTATTGAATATTTTTCTGAATATTTTTTTTCGTGAAAGGAGTCAATTTTTCTCCGGTGGAGACTTTGAAGATGGTTATCATTTAAATTTCTAACGTTGATTATTTTAGTAGGTGTGCCATAGCAAAACGTTTAAGTATCATTTTTAAAATTTTGTAGAAAAAACGAAAAACTTACTTTCTTACAAACTATCAAAAATTCTACAAAAATTACTGTAATAAGATATGAGCATTCTCTGCAACAATGTTTAATCAAATAATTCTAATTAAAAAAAAATCGTGTTAAAATTGTTAAAATTTCAAAACGATATAAGTAAAAATGCAAGTCAGAACGTTATAAGTCAAAGTAAAAATACCAATTACACAATGATTTGCAACATTTTGTATTACCCGTTTTTTCCGTTTATAACAATACTTTCCACGTCAAATATTAATATACAATACAATATAGCTATATAATAAAACGCATTTTTCACAATTTGGCACTTAAAACGTTTTTGTGGCACATCTAAATTGAATCCATTCAAATTCATTCAAAATTTATATAATAATTTGCTCAAAATAAAATTTCTTTTTGGTGATATCTAGTAATTCAGCAAATGAAATTTCATTCGGTCTATTTATTGAATGTCTATTTTATTATTTTAGGTAATTACAACACGTCTGTAAAAGTCAAAGTCTTGCAGCAAATCTTGAGATACGTTATTGCTAAGCCTTTTCTCCTTCGAGATCCTTTTCTTATCATCTAAATATTTTCTCTTTCGTTTCTATTGATCTTAGATCTGTTCCTTATCTTTTTCCTGCACTACCTGAACTGGTGCATACAGTGCAATAAGTTGAAGTGAAATAAATATACGTTATAAATATTTGTTTCGTTTTAAATTTTAGTTTATCTCGCTTTTCGATTATCTCGAGCGGTTGAATGTTTAAATTTTGACAAATTTCGTAATCTTCTGTAATAATAACAACGATTTTTTATACACAGATTGGCAAAACTAAAAAGGCATTCTGTGTAAATTGCAACTCTTACAATCTAATAGTTTTGTCGTAAAGCGAACTCTTGAGCGATGTGCGTTCTTGGGCAGTTTTACCCTACAATACAACTATTATTTCCGAATATCATAATTGCAACAGTTAAATATCTATGTCTATATATTATGAAGGATCTGAAAAAGTTCGAGTTGCTACCTCACTTTAGAGAAATTTATGTAAAAGAAAATTTAAATGCCGCTATTGTCTTGAGTCGCGAATACATATGTACTATGTGCGAATATGTGTGCGTATCCAAACATTTCAAGCTGTCATATTCAGCCACGAGGATCGTGGACGACATAATCACTACATTTTAATATAAGAATCTTTGAAACAAACTGTTGTTTCTTTCTCTAAATTTCTTGGAGTAAAATCTCACTCCAAAAGAATGAAAGCATAGTCATTTTTGGAGAAGAGTGAAAATATTTCACTTCTTGAAAATGAGTGACAATTTTCGCTCAAAAAACATTTTCACTTTCCTTTGAAATGCAATTTCACTAAAAAAAAGTGAAAATTGTTACTCTTTTTCAAGCAATGAAATATTTTCACTTTTTTGTACAAAAATGGCTATATTTTCACTTTTTTAGAGTGAGATTTCATTCCAAGAAATTTAGAGAGCTTATTCATATTTTAGTTATATAGTATTGTTATAGTATATGTTGTCGGGTGCTTAATTCTGATATACTATAGCCTAGCTAGGGTTATTTTTTATATTCATTAATATATGCATAGGGTGTCCCAAAATTCGCGCATTTGTAGTACAGAACATAATACTTTATGCTAAACAAACAACTTTTTCCTTTAGCAAAATTACGTTCGATAAATAATTTTTGCACTTATTTGTTAACTTCAATCTGCTCTTCTGCAAAAATTACTTATCGGAATTTTGCTGAAGGAAAAAGTTGTTTTTTATGTGCTAAAACAAACAACCTTTTCCTATATAGTAAAATTACATTTGATAAATAACACAGACCCACAAAAAAAAGTACTCTGTGCTGGAGTGGAGATCCAGCTATTCTTATGTTGAGTCGCTGAATACGAATTTAACATCAAAATAAGACTATTCAGGATAAATTTTGATGTCAGATTCATATTCAGCGACTCGAAATACATAAGAATAGCTGGGTCTCCACTCCAGCACAGAATACTTTTTTTTGTGAGCCTCTATAATTTTTGCGTTTACTGGTATAACTTCAACCTGTTCTTTTGCAAAAACTACTTGTCAGATGCACAATTTTGCAAAAGGAAAAAGTTGTTTATTTTAGCATAAAGTATCATGTCCTGTACTCCGAATGCGCGAATTTGAGACACCCTGTATATTACGTAAACAATAGCCGGCTATGGCTTTACGAAGTGAGAAGTTCGCGCGGAAGTAATGGAATAATGGAAACGGCATATGGATGAGGCGCGAGCAATCGAGAAAGCATCGATTTATTGGCATATTACTATCGGTGCTAATTGATGAAAGGTATTCGTAACAGCATCATGCAACAACGCTAACATACATCCAGCATCCAATATCCTGGAATCCCCGATGGACGGACTGCTCGTAATGCAACTGTCGATATTACTGATAACCAATGGCGCGCGCGACCTCAGTTCGTTTCTAGAGAATCGATACATTATAACTCGTCTGTCTGTTTGTTCTCGTCAACCATGTGACAGAAAAACATAATCATAATAATTAATTTGCTAAATCAATATCATAAGTTAAATATGTATATATTTGAAAAAAGTTGCTGAAATGCTTGCTGAAATTAAATGTTTTAATGATTAATCATTTAATTACATAAGTATATAATTAACAAAATAATTTATTACCTCGTTATGATAAAAATTATTTCATTACAAAAAAAGAACAAAAGATATACAAGAATGCTTAAATTGAAATTAAAATTTTAAATAGATTACAATTGATTTTGCTTAATAAAAATTAATTAAGATTTTTTAAAAAGTTATTTTAATAACATTTATTTAATTTACATTTACATAATTATATTCTTCTAAAATTACAAAACTTTGACCAATACACATTGAGAAAAAGTTTGATTTGATTGTAGAAGGAATAAAACGGAATATTAAGGGCAAGATTTATGTTTTTTAACTCCATAAAAATCTCGTTATCGTTCGCAGAAGATTTGTATATCACAAGATGTTCACGTTATAAAAGCTAGAAGAGAAAGCTAGAGTTTTGTACAATAATAAATTGCACGTGGAGAATAAAGGAGAGGCAAACAGCATGAACCGCGTACATTCAGCCAGTAGTAAAAACGCGATGCGGGTCAGACGAACGTAGCAGCGCAGTAGTAATAGCCCAGTCGGACGCGGAACAATGGCAAGCCATTTCATTGATTTGTTGCAGTTTAAATTACAATTTATAAGCTGTATGCGCAAAATTTGTTTTATTATTCACATTATTAATTGTAAACTTTATATTATTGATAATTTGATATTTTATTTGATATATATTGATATAAACCAGATCAAATATAAATTTGAGAAACTTCTATTAATATATGTAAGTTTCATTTAAATGATTATTCTCGGAATTTCGATTCTCAGAAGAGAGAATATTGTAATGCCAAATATTATTGAATATTCGCTTAATACATATCTCAAAATACGAATATTATACACAGTATATACTGTTAGGTATCAAAAGAGCAATGGTAATCCAATCCCTTGAGTTAAATGATGTTTTGTTATTTTTAACTACCGTTTACGTATGCCAAAATGTAAACTACTCTGTGGTTAATTTTAAAATAAATAATGTCCATATATTAATGTATGCTCTTAATAAGTGATAAACTAAATTTTAATATTTAACATATTAATTTAATTAAATTATTGAACTCTATTGTTTTTAGTTAAATTAACGATATATTGAATAGAAAGTGGCGATTTATAGAAATGATTAAAAAATAATTCAAATTAGATATAATTTGACATTACGAATTTAACAGTGTTGGTGCAGCCATTTGAATGATATTGAAGATGTTCTTGGATGTAAACTTTTCTTTTGTATTAAACAGAAATTACTTCAAGGACGAACATAGACGTAACAAATACAGACCATACATTCTCTGGTCTTAACATCTGTGCTTCGTTAGAAAGAAGTGGATCATATCAACATCTTTCTTCAACTCTATCAACATTTTTCTTCAACTCAATACTTTAGAAAGAGAGAAAGAAAGCGATATGATTCAAGCTTATTCTTTTTAAACCAACAGTGACAACTTCGTAATGATGAAAAGAATGATTTTGTTAAAGTATCTCAAACTTTAGCTAGATACAAATCTGAAAATAATTTCATTGGATCATCAAAATAACTGCGTAGGAATTAGGAATTTGAATCATATATAATAAGCAATATTACAAAAACTTCAACAGTTTGCTACATAATTATTGTGATAGTCCAACAAAATTATTTTCAAGTTTCTATTTAGCTAAATTTTCAGATGTTTCAATAAAATCGTCCTTTCCGTGTAGAACTAGAAATACGCAATCATCTTCATTCTTATTACGTTTATGAGGATGAATCGCGTTTGGGGACTTTTTAATTAATTTTAGGCGAACTTTCCACGGCAAAATCATGTTTATATGTATGTGTTTACGTGCATTTGCCCGCAGAACTAGCTGCTAGCGAATAAGAGAATGCACCAATTCACCGTTAACTCTGGCCTTAGGGCTTCCGCATTTGAAATCTCAGGCGTGCAGCGGCGTACGGGCGTTTCGTGGCGGATGTGCATCTCCCACGATGCTTAAGACGTGAGTGCGCGCACCGATAAATATCCTGCCCCGAAGTGCGAACGAGTCGTTTCGCGGATTATTACCTGATCGTCATGCATCCTTGCGGATTGGAGTTGTAAATTGTACTCGACCCACCGCTGCGCCGCGAGGTTAAACCGATCGGCGAATATTCCGCTAAGATATCGGAAGCTAAGAGCAACTAACGATGTATCGTCTCAAGCTTCTCTCTTATAATTCTGCGCGTGGAACAATTCTCCTTCAGCTTGTTACGATAGCGCAGAATGAAGTCCCAGCTGCTTCCCGAGTCATGTAAAATTGGGTTTATGAAACTAACGAATTGTATTCGCGGAAAAAAATTAATTGGGTGGTTCAGCAAAGCTATATCTTGTTACGCGAGTTTAATATTTATAACTAAGAAGATTTGATGATTCAACAAAGAAAGTATGTCTATAAGCTATTATCAGTGTGCTGTAATTCAGTTTATTCTTTCTTACAAAGAAAATTGTTAATTAAATAGATACTTAGCCAACATGCTTTGTTAAAAATTTTGATTTATATATTGAATTAATTTTCACAAAAGATTATCTTTGCTGTTAATAAAATTACTGTGCTGGCTAGGCACAATAAATATGATTACTCATAATAGCTAATTTTATTCAGCTGTACAATTTTATTACTTTAACAAAGAAAATTGACTGTCCGTATATTACGACTGTAAATTTGCTAAACCAGTGAAGTTTTTAGTTATTTTAACAAATCTTTTTTTTTCCACGTTAAGCTCGTATCATATTATGCATTGAAGATTAAGGATTGTAAATTGAAGATTAAAAACTAAATAGCGGAACGAAATGGATTAAAATTAAAATTACATGTTTTATGTAATTTTAAATATAGCTACCTAAGATTGATTTTTCTTAGCAAGTTATTAATGATTATGATAGCATAAATGATTAAAGAATACGGGGACGACTAACGCGAAACGTTTCAGTGTTTCTCTCGATGATTATTATTACAAAAATTAACGTAGAGATTACAGCTTGTAGATATATTTATAGCTTGCACGTTTCGTTTTGGTTTTTAAATTTTAATTTAATTTTTTTGTTTGCTTTCGATTAAGAGATTCTCGATACTCACTTTGCAACCTTCGCAGCTGGTAACGCCGTAATGATAACCGCTCGCCTTATCGCCGCAAACCTTGCAGGGTACAAAGCTCTTAGCGGGCGTCGAACTATTGGAATCAGCTGCTGCGTAATGCTGTTCTGTAAGTAAACAAGAATTTAAAAAATTAATGAGTTATCTTGCTTTCTCTAATAAAGTGAATAATTTATTGCTAATGTGATAAAATATATTAATTATATAATAATTAATTATATAATAATAAAATAAACTGATCGTAACGAGATGAACAGTCTGGTAAGACTATTTGTAACTACGACAGAATATACTTTATGTGGCTTTAATTTCACATGTCATGTGTTTCCTTTAACGAGGCACGATAGGAACGCAAAAGGTAGTAAAGTATTAAATGAAGAAAGATTATTTCGCGTGAGCTTCGTGCATTTCCCCCAAGACTCTCCTATTTCCGAGAGAACAAACGGGACATCCATCCAACATTAGTAACATCTTTCCTTCATTCGTTCAGCATCTATAATGCAACGAAGCCCATCGTCTTGGAAGGGAATAGGCCGCTTCGGACGGTTCTGACTGGACGCGTAACGGGAAGCCGGCGTCACCGTTACGGAAAAGGAGCAGAAGAAGAAGAAGCGGGCGCAGCGCGGCACCCAGCTAGACGGAGCAGAGCAGGAAGGAGGAGAATGAGGAGGAGGAAGAGGTGGAGTAGGGAAGAAATGAAAAAGAAGTAGCAAAAAGGAATGAAACGGGGCCGCTGGCAAAGGGAGAGAAGGGGACCGTACATAGGAGATCGTCGCTTGTATACCGTTGGTCTCTTTCGTGAAACCCCTTGCCAGAAGACATCGTTATGTGGAGAAAATCTATGGACGTGTAAGGAGAAGAGGAGAAAAAGTAGGTTCGAGTGAAACAAGTGGGAGTGAGAGAGAGAGAGAGAGAGGGGGGGGGAGGGAGAAAAAGAAGTTGGACAATTCTCTGATCCGAGAGCGAATCCGAGAGAGCCTGGCCGTTTGCGCGCGATGTGATTTTATGATGGTCGTAGAAACTATCGTCGGAAGCAAACGGTATCCGCTCGTCCGCTTGCTGGCTGGATGCATCCGCGCAACCATCACGGGGACAATCAAGAGCAACCCCGTTACTCGGCTCGTCGCGTGGCGCTACTCCTTGCGCCTTTACCTTTGCTAGTGACAACGAACTACTGGAAACGCTCAAGATCGTTTCGCAGAATCGATCGTCTTCAACTGTAACTACGGCACGTTCAATTGCTCTTTCGAAATTATCTAATCAACTAAAAATGCGCTACAATTATGATGTATTGCCGAGACTGACTGTTCCTATAATAAGTCAGAATAACGTGCATTTAGCGCGAGCAATAATAACGGAAAGTTTCGTTTATACTATCAACTTTACAAAAAAGCAGCGAGAGACAAAAATTGTTCATTTTCTTCTCAGTAAAGTTCTGAGAATTTTTTCAGAATTTTTTACTACCGTATTTTCTTATGTTAAAAATAAGAATACCGTATTTTCTTATGGTAAAAATAAGAAAATGCAGAATTAAAAAATTTATAAAAAATTCTGAAAAAAGTTCTTAGAGTTCTATGAGAAGAAAATAAATGATTTTTGTCTCTTGCAGTTTTTCTGTAAAGTTGATGGTATTTGAATAGAAAATTATTGAAGACCAATATTCGGCAATTTTTAGTAATTAATTTTTACTAATTGTTAATTAGTGTGAAAATTGCAAAATGGTAGAGGACTTTTCGACTCGGTTTAGTCCGCTCTATTCACACAAAAGTGCTTGGCAAAAACGGGACACTCTGTATATAATACTATATAAGTACTAAAGAATTCTTTGTTTTTCTCGATATAGCTCATAATTCTGATATCAAATTTAACAAAATGTGAAAAGATTGATAAACTGTTTGGAATGCAGTTTACTGGTTAAATTTTATATCATCTTTCTCTCTCTCTCTCTCTCTCTCTCTCTCTCTCTCTCTCCTTTTCCCTTCACAGATAAATTTAATGATCAGTTATATCATTATATCGAAAAGAATAAATCGGAGAAAGTAAATTCAGTTCAATTTTGCTATTAAACTTTCTATGTAAGCTAACTCTAGCAGTAGCTAACTCTTCATGAAGAGCATGAATTGTTCATTGATGTAAAAAAAAAATGATTTGAAAGCTAAAATGCGAACTGCTGGCACAGGTGAGCATATGGATTTTTTATTTTTCTCTTTCACCAAGTTGATTTGTTAAATGAGAGATGATTATAATTGTAAAATTAGAATTTAGCTGAAGAATTATATGAATTGAATGAAAGTAGAGGATTTAATGTAAATCGATTGTAATCGACGATTGACGTCACATCATAAAAGCATTGTTAAGTTATTCAATAAATCATAAAATTTGTAATGGCGAATTTTTGATAAGAGGGAACCACGCTTAAAATGATTTGATAACAGCACGTCATCATCATATTGATTATTTGGTACGTTTAGCACCGAGATGCATCGAATATTAATTACGGTCAATATGAGTGGTTTATTTTGGAAATAGTATAATTCTATACTCCCGTAAATCCTTATAAATACAATAATTATACCGCCTCATATTATATCCTTAGCTCATTAAAATTTGTAATTAGAATCACTTGCAAAGTAAGTAGCGCGTACAATATTAATTAAATATGATAAAAATTACGCACATACTATTAATTAATAAAGTTAAATAAATGAATATAAAATAGAGAAGTACGCACGATTATATGTGTATACATATGAATGAAACTCTTAGTTGATCCGTAATTTCAAGAGAGCAAGGCGGAAGTTTTTATGGGTGCGCCGTAATTACATACACTAGTAATCAGTTCACAGTTAAGCCAAAGTTCTTCAGTACGTGTTCGAAAGAATCATGCCGCTCATTAGAGACGTATGTTAAATGGTCACGCACGAATAAATCTAAATGTTATTTTCTTCCGTCGCGTTTATTTTCGCGGAAACACCACCTTTCTTGCCCGACACGAGAGATAAGATATAAAAATCACCTACTATTTATTTTACATGAGTGATAAACTAGCGCCTGTGTTTCCTCCCGATAAAAATATCATTAACTTGAGTTATGATTATATCATAGATCATAGCTCCTTGCTAATAGTTTATATTTCACGTTGCTGCAATTTGTACAATTTAGATTCGCGATAACGTAACGTCATATCGTGCGCTAGGTCTTTTTCAAAATTATACCAGATCTGCACGGCGCTATAATCCATCAGTTTACTAATAAATCGATTACGCTATATCCACGTGGGGGCTACTCGCCTTTGTTCAGAAATCAGCGGGGCGGTAAATGCACCGAAAGCGCTGCACGTTCGAATAAACGGCATGATGCGATGCTAACAATATTATCGTGCTGGACAACATCAAAACCGATATGCAGCTCGTTTCGACAGTATTTATTGGCAACCATCCCACTCCAATAAGAATAATTAAATCTGGACCAGCTATTTATCTATAACGGTCTGACGTTTCGATTTATATTTTTGTCGACAAAAAAATAGTGATAGTCATACATTATTAAATTCATAATGTCAAATTATATCTATAATTTGAGTTATTTTTAATCATTTCCATAGGTCGCTGCTACTGCTACTTAATATGTCGTTAATTTGATTAAAACAATGGGAATTACAATAAATAATTTTACTCAAAAGAAAATGTATTAAATTTAACTCACTTTTAGTTTATTATTTACTAAGATATTAATATAGACATTGTTTACTTTGAAACAAACTGTAGAAATAGATTGACTTACATTTTGACACACATGAAAGTTAAAAATAACAAAATGTTATATTAAATTAATCAATATTAGATTTCTAGGACAATAAAATGCAGCATACGGTTGTCGTTCAATTTTTTTTTCCTTTTTTTACATTAATGCTAATTTTTTTTTACGTTAAGAATAATATAATTACAACTGTCAGCTCAATTGCATGAAAGGAGCAATGGTAGTCTCTTGAATTAAAAATAACAAAATGTACAGCGTTAATGTAAAAAAAATGTGTGCAGAAAAAAAATTGAGCGAGAAACATGTGTTGCATCTTTATTGTCCTAGAAATTTAATACTGGCGAATTTAATAATAATTGCCTCAGAAATCTAATACTAGCCAATTTAATATTTGCCAATTTATTACTGAAAGACAATAATTAATTACATAAATATGATAGAGAACGCCAATAATTGGTCAAAGTTAGATGTTATGAATACAATATATATTCTTAATTTAAATTTAATTATCTCAAGTGTGTGACTGAGCGCCATTCGGACATTAACCACAATCGATTTGAGACGCTAATAATATAAATATAAGGCACTGAAATATTCAGACATTCCTATATATGAAATAATCCCCCTTAAATTAATTCGGTAAAGAACTTATTGCGAAAAATATTACCTCAGCCAGGATGTACAGTAATTAATTACTTCTTTGAAATATTAAAAGCATTTAATAACAGTGTTTTTAATATTTAAAATAATTAATAATACTGTTGTTCAGTAATTATAATTCTCAATTGTAATAACCGATTATTTGAACTCAAAACAAACAATTTTAAATTGTATAATCTGTACGATTGATACTATGAGATTTTTAATTGCAAAAAACAAAACTTTGAACCTTTCTGTATCAATCGCCGTGAAGTTCACTTGCGAAGGTTCACTTGCATTCTGTATTTCAAACAGTACGTTTCAGAAGTTAGTTGTAGTTTTCGTAGCTGATTAAATTGGCCAGTATTAGATTTCTACAAGGGATATACTATATAAGTGATAACGTCGTTTAGCTATCATGAGCTACCTCAGTGAAATAACATTAAATGATTTATCTAATTTCACATTCCTGTAATTTACCTAGTTCTAATGTTTAACTGTTAGTCGAGAGTTCAGGCATGTCGAATGTCAATTTACGCGGAAACGCCAAGTTCCCCTTGTTATCACAAGTGTGAATCTACGTGTACTTGTGAAACAACCGATGGTACACCCCCATTGTCGGTGAGCACTGACGCGTGTTCGACATGACAGTAGACACTCCGGAAGAAAGCAGAATGGGATCCGGAGGCTTTCCCGAGATATCGACAAA